CCCTGCCAACCTGTACGTTGGAGCTCTGTGTACTTGCAACACTGACGTCCTCTTCGGCTGCTCTGACAGCATCCAATTGTACCTGCCAGTTTGCCATTATGTCGTGTGGTGGTGACGTCCCAAATCTGGAAGGTCTTAAAATAGGCTGCGGTTGTCTCTTACTCCCGCCAAACTGAGCCATATTCCACCCCTGAATGCCAATCTTTTGCTTTCGAGGCTGTGGTCCACCACTCCTGTCAGCCAAACCAGTCTGCATGTGGTTCTGCTGAGAAATACCACCATCATTGTTGGCGGGTGTACCTGCGGTGTTAGCTGTAACACTTGACTGCACAGATCCCTCCTTGGTGGCTGTCTGGAGATGCACCTGCTTGCGTCCCGCTTTGGTCCTGGGATACGATCTCCACTTTGTTGGATCTTTCCATTGTTCCTTGGGCAGGAATCGATGTTCACATCGCGGTGCAACATGATCCGCCTTACCACAGCAAAAACATTTACGCTTACTCCCCTTATTGTAATCCTGTGCAAGGTTAGTACCGTTCTGTGGTGTGTTCGTTTTATCATTTGTGTTGTTGTTGTTGTTATGTTTCGGTGTTGTTGGTTTCTTCACCCGATGATTGTGTAGCGCCTTGGCTGCAGTTTCCACATCTCTCGGGAATAAATCTCGCTGAGCATAATCCACGTGCTCCACAGCGTACGCAGTAACAAAATGATCAAGTACCGGCTGGTATCGTGCACGATCACAGTTGTGCAATAATCCAGCAGCGCAGAACAGTTTCACAAATTCGTCCTGAAATTTGTGTTGAAGTTCTTCGACTTGTGCTGCAACTCGCTTCTTTTCTCTATCCAACAAGCCATTGGTCGGGTGATTGTTTTCAATTTCATGATATGCGGTCGTTTTTGCGGCAAACACTTCTAGCCACAAATCACCCATGAAAGATAATACTGTAGTTGCGCATTCTTCGAATCGTTTACGGTATTCAGTCACCGTTTCATTTCCTTTCTGACGACAATTCACCCACTTCTGGAGTGCTTCCCACAATGTAATGGGTTCCCAGTCTGTCACATCACTGGTCGTCATACATTTATTGATGCGTCTCAATAATTCAATAGGATCACCCTCGATTTTCTCATTGTAATCGACCTCCTGTAGAATCTTGTCCTTCATTTTACTGGTAGCAAATGACTCCATAATCAGCGAATGCACATGCCACTTTGCTTTGCTCCAGTATCGCTTTTGTCGATGATATTTGACACTCTCCGTTTTCAATTCTTCCTTCTTTGCCTCTCTCTCTCAATTTCGTCTTCTTGTCCAGTTAAATCCAATTTGGGTTTCAAAACATCCCAGTCTGGCTCATTCAATTCTTTGATGGAAGATATCATAATCTGGGGATATTCCAATCCCTCCATTCCAATTCGTTCGATGAGGCTCCGTGTTACATCGGCATAAGGAAAATCTGGGTCGCTCGGATGATACTTGGGCGATCGTTTTTCTTTCTTTCTTGTGTTCTGTGAATTGCCACTCGTCTGGCAATTTCCACCGAATCGATTGCCACCGCGACCTCCTCTCGTACTTTGGTTGCGGCGCGTCATTTCTATTTTATAAACAGTCTCACTATCGATTGAGTGTCAGATGGACCTGCTCTACAGACCTGAATGGGAGCCTCAACGATATTGACGATGGAGCTACGGTTGCTGGTGCCATGGATGAGTTGCTGGAAAAGGATAGTCAACTGGAGGCTGCTATCACGGAGATTGAATTCAAGGACAATCTCTTGTCCGAACACAATTCTGCTTTGGAGGCCGAACAATTACGATCTGAACAGTTGGCGCGCGAACTTGCCGCAATGCGCTTACTCCAACAGCCATCAGCAAGCCGCACAGATCAGCCGACTCAGCTTGACAACAATGGGCCTGCCACCAAGTCACCTACGGAGGAGGATATTCCTCTCACAGAAAAGCCACACTCCCCGTCCACTCCGGCATGATCCAACAAGCCAGGCCCCCTCACCTCCCCACTGCCGGGATCTCCTTCTCCACCTGGGCCCAAGAAAATGTTACCACCTCAGAATGCCGCCACTCGCCCCAAATCCTTGGTCAAGTCGGTGACTCCGGACCAAGCCCCGAGGACGGCACCTACAGCACGTCCTCCCAAGCGGGACGGTGGTACCAATGCAGAGTCTATCACTCCGTCCTTGACTGACACTCAAGGATCGGGGAGCCAATCCGATGCATCTACCCCGTCGATCTTCCCCATCTTCCGCCACCCTCAACAGTCTCCTCCCTCCGTCCCGGTTAAGGGTAAGAAGGATAAGAAGACATCATTGGCCGGCCGTGGAGCTTCCCGCTCCACTGCAGGGCAATGAGAGGCCCTCGATCGTCTGCGCTAGGTCACGGCGAGCAGGCAGACGATCAAGAACGAGTGGCCCCTCGACGGGTGTTCCCCATGCATCAGTTGAGGAATTTCTAAGTTCTCTTTCCCCTGGTGATTTTTTTGGCGACGATCATAGATGTCATCTACAGTCGTCGACTCGCCTTGTCTTTCAGAATGTCAATGGCATTCCAGCCTTAGCGACCGGATGGAAACAACAACAGATTAACCAGTGGTTGAAAGAAGAACGAGTGGGGATTGTGTTGTTGGCGGAGACCAACACACACTGGCCTTCCCTTCTGGAAGGTCAACACTGGAACAATAGGATGTGACAAGTAGCATCTAAGGGATATTATTTGGTCGCGGCGCACAATGAGAACCGAGCTCGTCCCATCGCCTTGTCCTCGCAGTACGGTGGATGTGTGGCAACTACCTTGAACTCAGTTGCCCACCGTGCAAAATCTTTTGGTCGGGACCCCACTAAATTGGGCAGGTGGGCATATGTACGCGTCCAAGGCAAGAAGTTTGCAATGCCAACACCAGACGATCAAGTTTGCGAAGCTTCCGACGCTTCAAGGAGTCGGTTCTCTAGGGATTTGGTTGTGGTGTCTGCGTACCAACCTAACCCTCCGGGGACTGGGGAGTCTACAGTCTGGGCACAACACCGGAGTTTCTTTCGCTCCCAAGGTCGACTGCGTGAACCGAGGGAGGCCTTTATGGTGGACCTACTTCGAGCCATCACCCAGTGGCGCGATGAAGGATGTGAAGTAATTTTGGGGGTCGACGCCAATGAGGACATCAGCTCCACTAAGTCCTCTTCTTTTTGACAACGTCTTCGCGATGTTGGTATGGAGGAAGCTATCATCCAACGACACCCTGGTCAAACGGCTGCCACTCAGCACCGGAACAAACGGGGCACACCGATCGACGGCATTTTCACGACCTCTGGGGTGGCTGTACAGGCTGGAGGCTACTACAACTTTGATGAGTTTTTCTCGTGCGACCACCGCGGTCTTTGGATTGATATCGACCTGGAGAAATCCTTGGGCGGGTACAAACCACAGCAGACCCCGTACAAACCCCGCAAACTTACTATGTTGGATACTACAGCAGTCCGCCGTTACCTGCAACTCGTTCACAAGGGCTATGAGGAATACTCCATCCCATCTCGCTTGGCGTCCCTACATCACCAACTGCAACTAAATGAAGGGACCATGACAGCAACAATGGGTCGTCATTATAACTGCCTGCACCGTCAGATGTACGTCGTAAGGCGAAAGGCGGAGGAAAAATGTAGACGGGTCACTAATGGATTGGTGCCCTGGTCTCCTAAGATGCAACAGTTTTGGGATTGTCAATCCTTGTGGAAGATCCTTTTGAAGGGGAGGAAGGGTTGCCGGGTGAGTTCGCGTAAATCCGCAGACTGACGAAGAAGGTTGGGATACCGGACGCGTGGACAAAGACAACAACGGAATTGGAGGCCGCCCTCTGTCAGGACCGGAAGGACTACCTTGAGGCTAAGACTCATTATGCTGCAAAGTGGCGCAAGGACTTTTTGACGGTGCAGGCGGCGAAGTCCAAAAAGAAACAATGGCGGTCGCAAAAGGCCAGAGACCG